GGGACCGACCTTGCTGAGGAAAAGGCTCAGCCCCATCTTCGCCAATTCACAAAGATCGAAACCGAAATGATGCACTTGCGGTATACGGGGGGCACGAAGGCAGGGACAAGCCAGTGTATCATTCGGTAAGAGCTACGATACCTTCAAAATTTCCGGCATCACTTATTGTTGCAAAGCGCCGGGTATTACGCCGAAAACCTATTGCTCTATGAAAAGGACATGAAGAATAACGGAAGGCTTCGTCTGCCGATCGGTGATGTGAATTCGTTCGCCCCTATCGCGCTTGGCGATGTTGTCAAGGCCGTGGCGAACATTCTTGTCAGTGAAGGGCCGAAAGGCTTGAGTGATAGATTCCGAGGTCAATTGATCACGCTTACAGGACCCACGTATGCATATCTTAAGTTCTTGATTTATACAAACCGCCTCAATCACCCCCCAACACAGGATGTGCAACGGTGTTGAACTAGCCGCAGCGGCTTCCCAAGCTGGAGTTAACATTGAATTCACCGATATCTCTGAGTAAGCCTATGACATACGTTCCCAGTATTTACTTTGTTGAGCCGATGTGTTTTTTCAGCACGGAAGCGAAGCAGCTACTTGAATCGGACACTGATGTTGATGACTCCGAGAAACAGTATCTTCTCGAGTACTACTCGCTTGTACGCGAGGGGAAAACGAACTATGTCAGTACTCTTGATTTCGCGCCCATAACAGGGGAAGGACCTACGAACCCCCCTGACTTTTTCAAAACGTATGGGTCGGCAAAGTGAGTCACACTCTCTTGAGTTCGTCTTCCCCAATCAAACATTGTCATCTTAGACATCACATCGTCTGTCAGTGAATGGAGAATTGGCAAAGCAAACCAGGCCTTGGAAAATCGTCTGACCAAAAGCCAAAAGTATCGTTATTAATCTTTTTATGCGAGAACTGTATGATACGCTTATGTGGACTAGCAGGTACTTCAAGAAGTTGAGGATTTGGAAGTTCTGAACGTTCGATTGTCGGTATTGACGACTACTTATGTATAACGCGCCTATTCGCAAATGGTCCATGACAACTTTAATATAAACTACTACTGCACTGATCCGTAACCTGACGCGCAGTTCTGCTTGGCGATGCTAGCAGAACCACTACGAATGTAGCAGATTCTAGCAAGAGGGCATTTGCCCGTGCATGGCGGGGTGAGTATCGAGCCCTTTCCTTGGTATGAATTGAAGGCCTAGGAACAAGTAAGACAACAAATTAAAAATATCCAGTCACGAACTTACCCGCATCAAAGTCGGGTCCACTTCCATCTCTGAAATAACATGTATAGTGATGGTAGTGGAAAAGAAGAAACACACGCACGCTCAGTCACAAGATGCCACCAGGTCGCGTTCAGTGGGTCGGTTGTTCCCCAGGTAATGTTTCCTCCATATGCCTCACGAGTGCTATACTCGAACTCGAAAGTAGGGCCGAATTGAGTCTGCGAGTCCAGCGCAGGATAATCGTTGACGTAACTCTTCCAGCTGCAGGGAATTTGTAAGCAAAAGACCAGCTGATGACAGCAGCCCGGAGAAAAAACTGACGTATAAGCCTCGACCACTTCAAAAGTCTGCGTGGATGTATAAGCTAGATTTTAGCAGATGTTAGCAGGAAAACCTACAGCAGAGTCAATTTCATAAACACGGAACCCAGAGTTTAGGTTGGTGAGGGGTGTTACAGATGGCCCAGTCTGGAAGCCGAGTTAGATTGATCGTTACCATGAACTCGTCAAAGGACACACCCATGATACCGCCTGAGCGGTCTCAGCACTTATATTCGTACCATTATTGGCATAGAAGATCTGGACCAGAAAGATATGTCAGCGTTCCCTTTATGAAGTGGCATTGGCTCATACGGATAGCTGGTCCTCGTGTGTATGACCCCAGAAAATGTCTGATCATGTGAGTCGTCAAACTTGTTCGAGCATCACAGAGAAATAACATACTGGCAATGACGTGAGGGGAAAAGCGATCAACACTAGGTATATCAGCTCCACGTAGAGTAAATTTGACATCCAGCAGACTTACATTTGGTAAACTAACGCAAACGCTGCTCAGCAAATTGCACATTGATCGGGAAGTTAAACTTACAGAGATTGGTTGGGTTCGGCAACGAATTAGAACCATCCCAACCGCTGACGACGTGGCCAATGATCCAAACTGAGCATCGTCAGGTCGGTTGGAATGTAGTACCACCTATCAGCGCACCTCGGTCTCCCGCGTCTTCCGCATCCTGAAGTTCATCAGTGAGGAACCTCATTATTCCAGAAACGTCTGGTTCGGATGAGTTGATGTAATTGAAGTAGTTTGACCTTTGCACAGTTTAGATCATGGGGCTTTGACTGTGTCTAGACCATTGATCACGTACCTGTACCCTGTAGACCAGTTTGTCAGTGCTCATGCCAGTTAAACGTTTCGCCTCACATAAGTTGGTATCCAAGCTGATTACCCTCAGGCCATCTGCACGCTTGACCATGTATGCTGCATAGTGAGCGCGCGAAAACTCGACGGAAGCCTCCGGAAGCCATCCCTTTTGCTCCCATAACGCTGTAACGTGGTCGTATAGCCTAGTAGATGGGTAACGCATGAAGTGGGAACTGATGAGAGAAATTTTACCAGCTGAACTGTTGCCCCAAAGCGCCCCCTAGGGATAAAGGTGAAGCTAGATCTGGCAGACAAGTATCGTGATTTCCGAGTGTAGCATAGGTAGGACCAGGTCCGAGCATGCGCTTGAATAGATCATAAAGGACGACCTGCCAGGATGCATGATATGTAACGGTCCAATTTTGAAACACAAATATTACCTCAGAGTACTCGTTCAAAGCCCTTGAAGGGAAGTGAGAAAAGACGGATAATAAGTATCAAATACGTACCTAGACTGCTGGTTTTCTGGGTCATGCGCCAACATGTCGCCAGTGAACAAAGTAAAGTCAAAGCCAGTTGATTCAGTTCCGGTCAACTGTGGGATGGCCTCTAGCACGGACGTGATCAATGAATATGGAGCGTCGCTAAAAAGACATCAAAATGTGTTCCTTCAGTGAAGGCGAGCTCTAACCAGAGGAACGAGCCGTATCGTGGCGCAGGAAGGAGGGGTGTCTGAGGGCTGAGAGAATTGTAAGCATTGTCGCGGCAACACAAACCACTGGTGCAGTTTGCTTCCGCGCCGTTCGCATAACCTGGTAAAAGAAGATCAATGGAGATAAACAATGTATACGTGTAAATGCCGCGCACGGGGATCAATATGCAGGTCCGAAATATGCAAGACTTTGAGCAGTTGGCCACTGGGCTGCTTCGGAGGGGGAAGAGGGTTGGGCTTTGGCTTTGCAAACCAGCCGGTGAGGTTGAGAGTCGTTGTCGTAGGCGCTGGACATAAACCAAGGAACTCAGAACAAATCGACTGGAAAACATCGTGAGATACAAAACATTCTTCCGTTTCAGCGACTTGTTTTACCTGTCCGTCGTATCCTCCAACATCGGCAAAAGATACAACTTGAGTAATGATCGGTCCCATGACGAGGGGTCCATAACTTTTTTCGCAAGAGGATGAATAATTGAAGTACTCGCAGAGCGTCAGAGCCAGATTCGTCCCTTGTTCAGGAGCCGCAAGAGCAAGAAATTTTGCCACTTCTAGGGAGGCCTGGCACCGTGCACATGTACTAAACATTGGGTTTATTGCAATAGACTTGATCTGCGCTACCGCTTGTTGAAGAAGCTTTTGGGAGGACGCCTTGGGTGGAAGCGGGTGAGGATCCACGGTGTCATACTGTCAAAGCCGGAGGGTTAAAACGATAAAACCGACGCGCACAATGGGAGTGCACGTTACCTGGGGAATGTTTTGCGGGTCTGTCAGGGAAAAAGGAAAGATTTCATGCTGAAGAGCGAGTTAGTTTCAGTTGCGCAACAGTTGCAGTAGACATTTACCGTGACAGGATCTGAAATGACTGGCTGCGGCTGCGCAGAGGTGGCCGTTGGACTATTGTAGTAATGAGAGTAGAGAGAAGCTGGGAACGCTCCTGGGACCGCATATGAAGAGGGAACAGTACTAGTAGTGCTATCCTCTGCAGCCAGGACGAACTCGGATCCCTGCAAGTAGTGACTCCAAGCCAAAGTGGCTAAACCTAAGAAATACCTGGTTTTAACAAACATTCCAAGCCTTGTCACCTAGGAAGACGAACTGCAGGTACGAGGGCTTCGCACAATAAGATGAAATTCCGGCTCATTATTTCATTAAAGGCTAGACTCTCGTGTGAGGAATCTATCGGTTACTACGAACGTTCGAACGCCGCGCGTTGATATTGATCAGGTGCCCTTGCACGCGGATGCAGTGCCCAATCAGGAAGTGAATATCAATAGGCCCGATAAGACGGTAATTAAACGTACAAGCCCGCACTACACAATGTTGGGGATGGGCAGCGCTCACTCCAAACGTTGCCTGGAAAAACTCGGGAGGGTACTATCAGCGCCGTTCAGCTTTGGGATTCAATATTATACCCTGACTTTGCGCTTTTACCTTTAGACTTCGTATTACCTTCTTGACAGTATCAGCTTCGACACCATGTGCAACGCAATCCGTCTTGTAGCTTCTTGCTTCTTGACCACACGAACCACCCGCTTGTCCATTCACCGGTATCATTACCTAATGTCATGGTCTCTCGTGTTTAGTTCGCGTCGTCCCATCACATACCTCAGTATTGTTCTTGAACTTACTGAGGTATGTTGTATCTCTTACTCGCAGCCCACTCGTACTGATGTAACCTAGCGTGTGCTCTCGCTAGGTAGATTATCTTCAATATAGTATTGTTCTTGAACTTACTGAGCGTGTGCTCTCGCTAGTTATTCTAGCGCGACCACCATGTGCACGTCACAAACGTGTCTGGGACGCAATGTTCAGAACATCGACGAATGTCCAAGTTGAGAAGCTTGGGCAATGTCACAGCAGGAAAGTAGAAGCTTAAGGAGGACCGTCTAGAATACTTGCACACCGATTATGAATTGCATTCCTTCTCCCTGGTTTTGAGGTTGCCCTCATCGTGCGCTGGCAACGTGATCTCTGGACCTACTAAAACAAACCCTGCTGCCATTCCAAGAACCGGTGCTTCATTCAAGACATTTTACTCCGAGCTGTCCTGAAATGTTTCGTTGGCCAAAAAATGCAATGTTTGAAAAACGACGTACGACATAACAGTCCAATAACAATACATACATTTATACTCCGGCCAGTTCGGACACAAAGGTGCCCCACACTCCATGCAATCTTCGTCAAAATCGTCTATGTATTCCTGGCAATGAGCGTTAGCCATGGCACAAAACCCCGCAGGATAATAATTTGCATCCCGTCACGAGGACTACACCCTTGTTTGACAGTGAAAGCCCTTCCTCGTCGGGTATATCTTCCTCCGCGCAATCTTTGCATAGTGTTGTCTTTCGACACTCCGTGCGTGCACGGATATGTCTACACGGGCCTTCGAAGCAATCAAACGTCTGACATCCCGGACAACGTCGACCGCTCCTCTGAATTTCTTTCTGAGCACATGGCTCACAAACCCAGGTTCGTCCACAAGGGCAAGTTACATGACTGCGATTGACTTTAAAGCAATCAAGACAAACATCCGGATCATCATGTACACGAGGCCGCCAGATGTGCTCGCTGCGCTTCTTCCATGAGCATTCCAAGACGTATCAAGCAACAGGCGCATACCTTGATTCTCGCGAACTTGAGGTTGCTTTTTCCAGATGGATCTGCGCCCTCTCGGTGAATCTGTTGGAAATGGACATGAGATATATTTAAGATGTGATCAACGAGTCGCTCGTAAAAATCCTACGAAACAACATCATTCGAGTGCAAGGTGCTTTGGATGCAAAGTCGTGCATACTTGGATACCAACGTCGAGGAGACCCAACATTGACCATCCATTGTCAGGCCCAGCGTAAGTGGTGTTTGTCCTCGATGACGACGGCCTGTGCTTGGCCATCTACATACACCATGTCTCCTCAGGCTCCACTGATTAGTCGCCTTGAACAGCCTTTCGGCGCAGCCGCACAATGGAGAATAAGATCATTGCACAAGTCAAAGAAATGATTTCATCAAAATAACATACCTCCCTGCAAATACTGGACTTGGACAGTCCCATACTGAAGCTCTCGCTCGCATCATCTCCACCTGGTTCTTCATTGACCAAGTTAGCATGTTGATTGGGAGTTTTGGGGTGAAATCAGCACCCATCTCGTATCTTTAAGAGTTGCTATTCTGCATGTCATAGGAGTAGCCTCGAATGCCTGAGCTCTGGATATATTCACGTTCAGGGAATATCCGCCTCATTCGTTTGTGTACATCTCGGGGACGTTTTCGTAAAAGCGAAGGTTTGCATTCGGGAAGTAATACGAAAACCTGAACGGGTAAAATTACTTCGAAAGCCAAAGCACATCGAGCGAAAGTGACAAAAGGTTTTGTCGACATTCGTCCGTCAAAACTCGCTACTGCTCGATTCCTAGTCGACAGACTTGCCTCGGCTGCGGATGTCCTGAAGCTGCCACATGCACAACTAGAAATCTTCCTTATTTCGATATGTCAATGCCAACCAAAATTTGTTGTTTAAAAATCGACATACCTCGCACCCCCGACACCCATCTTCCGTGGCGCAAGTCAGGCACATAAGCTCCCCACATTCCGGACACTCTTCGTAGTCCGTGCAATCGCGGCAATGAACACTGTTACAAGATTCACAACGGGATTCACGCTCGTTAAAGCAGTCTATACAGATTCTGCCCCGACATTCTTCGCACGTCGCCACAAGGAATGCGCTCTTGTTTGCGCTTGAAGACTCCTCCTCGTCAGCCATGTCTTCCTCCATGCAATCGTTGCATAGCGTCATCGTGCGACAGTCCGCGCACACGTCGATGTATCTGCACCTGAAGAAACAAAAACAGTTCTGACATTTTGGACAGCGTCCACAATGATTCAGAATTTTCTCCTGAGTGGCACACGTGCCACAAATCCAGTTGTCCTCGCAGAGACAAAGTATGTGACCGTCCATGGGTCTGACGCAATCAGGACAGATTACGCCACCAATAAAATGTGCGCGAGAGGAACAGTCGTATTGGCTGCACTTCTTCGTCATTGCAAGGGTCGAAAAGCATGACTGACACGAAGATACAAAACTAATGAGGTTGGCACCTTTACAGCAACTGTTATCGCAGGTGACATTCGAACAACCATGACATATGACGAGAAGGTGAGAGCAGATCGGACAACGAGGATAGTTTGACGAGGATGATGAAATGGGTGTTTCAAGTGCTCCAATTGCTTGTGAATGGGATATCAAACTATGATCGACGAGTCGCTGGTAATAGTTCTACGAAACATTGTCATTTGAATGTGAAGTGCTTGAACGCTGAGTTGTACGCACTTGGAGACCGACCTCTGAGAGACTTTGATTCATCACTGACTATCTGTGCCCCCGCGTTCGCTGTGAGAACCTACTTATCAGGTTTTCATCTTTGAGTTTACGTGTCCTCATGCTGTGCGGTGGTCTCGAAACTAGATGGTTTAGGAAGGGGCGAAAGCGCGTTCTAGGAACTATGCTCACTGTACTGGTCCGGATATTTCCGGTGTTCCTAGAATGTCGGCGTCGAGAGTAGCTGTGTGACAGCAGGTGACTTGCGTCTTCTCTCACCATGGCCAAGCTTACCTTGATCAGAAGTTCGATATCGTGCTGTGTCTTCAAAGGCTGTATCACCTTCGAAATCGAACCACCTGTGCGTCTTCTCTCGACGCTCCAGCCGTCCTATCGACACGGCAGAACTGGTGCCATAAACCTGAGGCTCTACTTATTTCCGAAATCCTCGCGACGATTTCCGCGCATGTGAATCAAATGCTGTCGACCACATTATCTGTGGATGAGATATCATATTGGCTCGGAAATCCCTAACAGCACTTGCAACAGCATGCAAAACCTTCCACAAGGTGTGCTGTGGGCTGAAATAAATCAGTTAGAGCAACTGCTAGGCTGTGTCTACTGATATATCGTAGTGGTGTCAGGGTCAGTTTCACGCTGTTCATTTCTTTGCTGACCAGCATTTACTAAACAGTGGGACTGCTGGACGGAAGACTTCGAACCATTATCTGCCAATGACGCACGTCGATTTTTGCTGTCGCTCCTCCTGTGTTCCCTCGTTGATTTTGCCATTCGACCGCCTTTTTCATCTTCTCTCGATCATCCATATCGAGCGTGCATCTTTCCGGGGCTGCAATCGTTCACCCGAACTCAGAGTCAGGGGAGTTCTCTGAGCAATAATGGACTGTTCCTGCACATACGCTACCTCGTTCTCCATTGGCCGTTTTTCAAGATTTGAACTCTATTGCGGCCTGCTGTGCTTCCACCATCTGGAGTAACTCGCGTCGTCATCCACCTACTATTACAGTCCGCAGATTATTCACAGCGCTTCGTCGATGACCACTTTTTTTTTTGCTGCGAGTGTTAAATGATACGGTCAATCTCGATATCGATCCTGCTGCTGAGCCAATATAACATATCTCCCTATGCATATTGGACTTTGACGCACCTCTCAGAGTCCCATAGGATGCTGAGGCTCTCCCCTCCATTGACCAAGTCAGCACGTTCACTGGCACAGATCGGAAGCCTTGGGATGAAGTTAACACATATCCTAAATATTTGAAAGCTGCTGCGCTGCGTGTCACAAGAGTCGCCGCGAATACCCGAGTTAGCCTAAGGATGTGTTCATATTCCTGGAGTTGCCGTATTCGTTTGCGTTCGTTCGTACATGTTGGAAAGGTTTATGCAAAAGCGAAGTTTGCATTGGATGATTGGAAGGCAAAAACTTGTTTTTGTGTGCATCAGTTTGTAGATGCCTTGTTAATACATTAGGTTGGTCATGCGAGTAATGGGACGCCATGCAAGGCTCTCAAATGTCATATATCCTGCTAGTACAAGCGATCCATGCAAACAAAAAAATCTGTTACGACTGATATCTTTCGGCTGAACGAGTGAATGGTGTGTATGGTAATAGGTATCTACCAGGAGCATCATCGAATGTCAGAAATATCTTGAAGTAATATCTGCAGCAACGAGGGAAAGGACAGGAAGCCTAAGGGGAACTTGAAGCGGATGGACGGGTTTGTCGAGTGCGCGATAGACGCGGGAAGCACCTTGCAAGGACTGCAAAGCAGCTGGTGTGTGGAACATGTTCGATGCCCGGCGGAGAAGGGGGTCTGTTAGTTGCAGCAGAAGCATTGGTATTCTCTGTCTGCAAGGGTCCCGATGTCGTTCCACTCATCACATTGGATGTCCCTGCTGCTGCCGTGCTGCTGCTTGAGGCACCAGCGTGGACTTTCGGACGAGGCTGTACAGGCCACGGCAGATGTCTTTTTCCACTGTGGGCATTAGCGGTACGCTGCGAGACAATATCAGCATCGTGAGATGAGTGTCGAATGGTCAGGCAAACTTACATATTTGCCTCGTGTAGCGGAGACGTCCACAAGGGGAATATTGGGTGAGCGAGGAGCATGGCCCTGGGGAGAGGAAGAGCGAGAAAAGAGACGATTCATCATGTTCTTCATTCCGGACCCTTCAGCATGGCGGGTGGTGGTAGCAGCGCGATTTTTACGTCCAGGATCAAACTATCAAAGGATCGTGAGACGTGCATCGAATCTAATGTATCATATGGACTTACATCACGGAAGAACTCACTGGTCGGTATTGGAGTGCGTCTTGGGCGAGGCTGTGTGCTTGGAATGGTTTTCTGCAGGAGTGAAGTTAGGGATCGTACAAATCGATGCACACGAAAGCGTACTTTGAGAATCTTCTGTGTGGACTGTATAACAGGTCAGTACGAAGCATGACACGAGAAGAGAATTTGCTCACCTGTTGGGACTCCTTCTCTGATTCGCTCAGAGGAACTGTCCATGTGCGAACGAGGTTGTCGAAACAGCCTGTGGCGATGAGCTGGCTGTCCTCGGAAAAAGCCACACCGAAGACGGCACTAGGGTGCTCGAGTGGCTCGCCGATGGGTTCGAAATCATTGGTTAGGTCAAAGAACCGTGTTGTCTTGTCGTATGAAGTGGTTGCGAATTTTGTGCCATTGGGAGCAATGGATAGTGAGTAAATGTTATCGGTGTGCGCGTCAAACTGTTTGATGATGTTTCCGGTGATAGTATCTGAGATTCGGATGTCGTCGTCTACACTGATGAGATGGAGACCATCTGGAGTGAATGCGACTCTGTATGCCCGCTGTTCTATTTTGAGTAATTCTTTTCCCGTTTCTGCATTCCAGACGATGATGTGTTTCTGAGTGCCTGCTGCCAGTTTTTTCCCATCCGGGGAGTACGACACTGAGAGCGCATGACTGCCCACTTTGAGTGGTCCCAGGATCATTTTTCCCGTCTCCCTCTCCCAAATGCATACCGTTGAGTCCCATGTTGCACTTGCAAATGTCTCGCTGTCCGGTGCAAATATGAGACTCCAAACAGCACCCTTATGGCCGTTGAACGAGATGGGCACTCTTTTGAGCTCTCTCTTGTTTGTCGCGACTTCCCAGACCAGGATCCTTCCATTCCTGCTTCCACTCACAATCCAACGCCCATCAGGGGACGTTGCAACACTACAGACTTCGTCATCGTGACCCAACAAAGGCTCTCCCACTTGTTTTCCCGTGTCCAGATCCCACACCCGAAGAGTCTTGTCTTCGGAGATAGTGACAAGGAGACGAGTCCCAGCGATGAAAGTCACGCCTTTCACACGATCTTCATGACCCTTGAGTGTCATTTGGACATAAGGTGGTTCCTTTCGAGTCGGCGCTTTAGATGATGCTTTGCCCGTGGTGGCTGCCATTGACTCTTGTTCGGTGTCTCGGTCAACAGGAGAGTCGAGGAAGTAGCAGTCACTTGGCTGCGCTTTGGTGAGTAGTTGTTAAGTTGGATCTCCTACAGGATGCTCAGTTCATATGTTGACCTTGCTGTACACACGTGGTGTCCTGCATACAGGTTGGCAAGATTTTCAGCGCTTTTTTCAGGAGTTTCCTGTACTAGGAGGCGCCGTGGTTGCTTTTGCTGTGCTTCCATGATATGGCTGATACAATTTCTCTGCTACATCAGTCGACCCGAGATCTTCTTCGATGCTGTTCTTGTATTGCTAGATGACCATATGGATGCATCGAATCAATGGTTTGGCTGCAGTACCATATACCCTCAGGGAGACCAGCTTTTTGCACCTGAGGGCATCATTTAGTCTCTTACAGTCTGGCAGCTACCCTCTCAGTACACTCAATGACATGGCCCATTGATTCCATTTATAAGATTTCATGTGCAAGTTCAACCACCACTGTTTGGACTTGTAACTCTGCATGATCCATATACGTGAGATTCTGCACACAACTGCTATAGACACAGCGTCATTAATGACAGGACACCACTGTTACATGTATTCCCATGGATTACTCCCACCAATATACGATCCATCCCATGTAGAACTGGCCTTTATCCGCATTTCCCATCCTCGTATAGGACCTTCCAGAACGCTAACGCTAGTGGTATGGGTTCCACATTAACATCACACATCACAAACTCTGTTATGCTCAGCGTTCGTAAGAACAGCTAAACAGTCACAAAGAGTCTAAAGTGTACACCTATGTACGAGTCATGCAAGTTAAGCAGTATATTGCAGGCCCTGGTCTGCATAGGTCAAGTTAAGAATACAAGTGTAAGAGATAGGGTATATATAAGGGAATTAAAGCGGAGCTTTAATAAATGAATCGGAGATGGGAAGTGAATAGCGAATCGGAAAAAGAAGAAAGAATCGTACAATAGAATATCATAGAATGTTCTGTGAATATGTGATAAGGTGAATAAGTGAAGAAGTGAAAGAGAAAAGAGTAGAACTGTAACAAACTCCCGGATCGCAACCAAGATATCATCTGGACATATGTGACTGATCCCCTTGAATGGGTTCATGCCCGTGAGCGCCCGGGGATGAACATGGACGTCTAAGTCTGGTTTCAAAAGGAAATTGTAAGTAGTCTCTGTCGGTGTTTGGGCATAGATCTGATGGACACAGAAGGGCCGTGATCATAATTTGCTATAGTAATAGTCGGGCAACGGTACTGTCTTCTTGTCAATGTAATGGATCATTGGCTTGATGGCTGTGGTAAAAACACAATCTCAGCATGAGGAGAAGCAGCTTTTCGTTCCTGGCAGTCTCATTGGCTGGCAACTACCCTCTTGGTACACTAGATTAGCCTTATACTAACCACTATAAGTTAATTCCGTCTACAGGTTGTCACGCGCAAGTATGGCCACCATACGGACGCACGGCTCCACATGTGGGTTGGCCCATATACGCGCAAGACTATGCACAGACTGTCATTGATATGGGCCGTACGGCCCATCATCGAGCGATGACAGGACACTACTGTTACACACATTCTTGTCGAAGAACACCGCCAACATCAGATTTTTCCTGTGTTTGCGCACTCTGCGGCTGCGCGAGCCAGCTCATGTGGGACTGATTCGCGGCTCACAACATTATAGTTAGCTACTGTCGTGCAGACCTTGCCCGCTTGGCATGTTTAGCTTCAACTCATCGATTTATCTTAACTAGTCTTAGCCAAGTGGTTAACAGATTCAAAATCTGTTCTTCCTGGATCATGTGGGTTCGAAACTCGCCGACAATAGCTTTTCTCTATGTTCGCACCCCTGGCATGAGCTCATGAAGGTCTTCGAATGCCAACGACAACACTCCTCGCCCAGTGGTTAACAGATTCGAAATCTGTTCTTCCTGGATCGTGCAGGTTCGAAACCTGGTGACAATAGTTTTTCTACTAGGGGTCGGCGTTGCCGACTTTTTACCTTGTGGAGCTCTTTCGCTTAATTTGACTTGCCCACAATATCAACAGGGCCAAATATCTTTGATTACTCGCCGTTCAGACGCACAACATTCTGAGCATGATACAAAAGGCTGTAAACTTTCATATGGGTCCATATTCACCTTCATTAAAACGTCTCTCGGTGTCTTCTACCAGTTCTCGCATTCTTTCGTCTTCTATACGAAGATCTTCCAAAGGGTGTCGAAGGGGTCTACGATGCAGCTTAGCGTGTTCGAATTGCTGAAGACTTCCAACGCCGAATGTGCTTTTATATTTAGTATGTTTAATTCGTTATGTGCATTATTTATCGTTGATGAGTGTCTCATCAGTCGAACACCAATCTCGCGGCACTCCTCATATCTTCA